CACATTGAACCCCTCACACGCACATTGCTCCTCTCAAACATATTGCACCCTCTCACGCACACACTGCACCCCTCTTACACACTGCCTGTAAACACTACATCCCTTATACACAGACTCTTCAACTTAAACGCACTACATTCCAGACACACGCACACTACAACCCTTATACACACACTTCATCCCTTATACAAACTCTTGATCCCCTACACACACACTAGACCCTCTATATACATAAACAAAACAGCCCCTTTCTGGCCCTGCCCCCTTTTCACTGGGCTGCTGTGATTATAAAATGCCTGAGTCAGTTTGTTTCCCAATCTGGCCCTGCTGGAAAATATAACCTACTAGGAACTGTATATGTATGGAGTAAGACCATTACATATGGCTGATAGACAGTACATTGAGTCATAATAAACATATTAATTTAGAATTGCTGTAATGGAAATCATAATTAAGCATACGTACACAACAGGTTAACACACAGAAAAAACAGATCATAGTGTAGAAAAATTTACAGTATGACAAAAGAGAATAAAACATAGGCGAGTACACTCACAAACGTAGAGCCAGCTGATTTAGCTCTCAGTGGTCATGCCTGCAGATGATTAAAGGCCAACCTACTGCCTACTCATACTCACAAAGGAAACATTTCCTCCAGATCAGTTTGATAGAACATTAAGGGAATAGTGCAGTATGTCTGTCTGTCTGTAGGTCAAATACGAGCTCAGCTTTACGTCACTTTGAGCTGGTAATTCCAAGGTACACCTTAAGAAAAGCCCTCCAAAAATTTTCAAGAATGCAAAGCAGGTAAGTGTACTTGGTATAAAGATATTTGATAAAATACAAAGATAATAAAAACAGAAATAGCCAAAACACATATCATCTCTGTCTCTTGAGGCTTCCTCAGTTGGCAATACAAATCAAATGGTAGGAAAGTATAAATGGAGCAATCATGTACACCTTCTGATTGGCCAAGCTAGTTTGGAAGGGATATGAGTCCCTGAAGCCGATCTGAAAATATACATAGATCTCTGTAAAATATATGGTGTTGTCACAAAGGAAACCTATCCTCCAGATCAGTTTGATAGAACATAAAGGGAATAGTGCAGACTGTATAATATAGATGTATGTATGAAAAATTTTTTAAATTTGCAGGGATCTGAGCTTTGAGTTGGTAATTCCAAGGTACACCAGCAGGTAAGTGTACTTGGTATAAAGATATTTGACATAATGCAAAGATAATAAAACTAGAAATAGCGAAAATGCATTTCGCCTCTGTCTTTTGAGGCTTACTCATTTGGCAATACACATCAAATGGTAGGAAACACATATGTACATACAACTATATAACAATAACTGTCACGGGTTGTTAGGTCTCTTAGTGTCCCTTGGTCGATGCTTCTCTCATCCTCTGCTTGTCCTGGATTCAGCTACAGCATACGGTGATTCTAGCCTTCTGGAACCTTGTAAAATTCCCCAATATAGTGGACAAGATCAGTCGTATTGGGTAAAAGTAGCAATCTGAACTCTGCTTCTTATGCAGTGCCCATACATTGGCGGATCCAGGGGGGGGGGCAACGGGGCAATTGCCCCCCCCGAGATTCCCCCCTGCCGGCTAACGCAGGGCTGGCATTGCCCAAGTGCCAGCCCTGCAATGTGCCTGCGGACCGGGGAGGAAGATCACAGATCTCCCTCCCCGGTCCGCAGGCACTGTGCTGACAGCCGGCAGGGGAGTGAGAGAGAGGACCCGGGAGCTCAGTCTGCAGCTCCTCCGGGTCCTCCTCTCGTGAGATTTGGAGCGTTGCCGCGGTTACCACGGCAACGCTCCAAATCTCGCGAGAGTGAACTCTAGCCCGGGAGCGCGGGCTAGAGTTCACTCTCCCCACTGGGACCACCAATGAATCACCACTGGGACCACCAGGGACGGAGAAATGTCCCCCCTCCTCCTCAATAAAGGTAAGAAGGGAGGGGGGACATATTTATTTTATTAAAAAAAAATTAAAAATTATTATTATTAAAAAGCCTCCTTCCCCCCCCCCATTACACACACTGCCCCATTACAGGGGGGCAGTGTGTATGTATAGGGATAGTGTTTGTGGGGCAGTGTGTGTAATGGGGAGGGGGGGGAGGAGGTTTTTTTATAATAAATTTTTAAAATAAATATTCTGCCCCACAAACACTGTCCCCATACACACACTGTCCCCATACACACACTGCCCCCCATACACTGTCCCCATACATACACTGCCCCACAAACACTGTCCCCATACACACACTGTCCCCATACACACACTGCCCCCCATACACTGTCCCCATACACACACTGCCCCACAAACACTGTCCCCATACACACACTGCCCCCCATACACTGTCCCCATACACACTCTGCCCCACAAACACTGCCCTCCATACACACACTGCCCCCCATACACTGTCCCCATACACACACTGCCCCACACTGTCCCCACACACACACACTGTCCCCATACACACACTGCCCCTGACACTGTCCCCATACACACACTGCCTCCCATACACTGTCCCCATACACACACTGCCCCACAAACACTGTCCCCATACACACACTGCCCCCATACACTGTCCCCATACACACTCTGCCCCTGACACTGTCCCCATACACACTGCCCTCCATACACACACTGTCCCCCCCATACACACACTGCCCCAGCACACACTGCCCCCCATACACACACACTGTCCCCCCAGCACACACACTGCCCCACAAACCTGTCCCCATGCACACTGCCCCACAAACACTGCCCCCATACACACACTGCCCCTGAAACACTGTCCCCATACACACTGTCCCCATACACACACTGCCCCCCATATACACACACACTGCCCCACAAACACTGCCCCCATACACACACTGCCCCACAACACTGTCCCCATACACACACTGCCCCCCATACACACATACTGCCCCACAAACACTGTCCCCATACTCACACTGCCCCAAAAACACATACAGTGCCCCCATACATACACTGCCCCCTAACACACACACTACAACCCTGACATACACTGCCGCACTCACACACTTTACCCTTAACACACACCACTGCTCCTATACCCTATATCCCAGCAGATCCCAGGTAAGTTGTCAAACTGTTTTTAAACGGTATGACTACTTACTCTGGGGTGGAATCCTGGCACTACTGACACCATAACTACTACACTGAGCTGTAGTGGTTATTGTGCCTGGATTATTTATTTAAATAATCTACAAGTGCCCCTCCCGAGATCAGGCTCTGGATCCGCCACTGTGCCCATAGCATGGGGTTTCTATACAAAATCACAGGTATTTCCTTCCCACAAGCCATTGTGTTTGAGAGATAATTGAGCTCCAACTATCTCTCAAATAGGAAGACTTAGATACAATTTTTCATATCACAAAAATACATGACAACAGCATCGGAACCCCACAAATTTATATTCCTGAGTAGCCCCAGTCTGAGCACACAACATATCCAAAAAGCGCTCATATCGGTTTGGTAAAACGAAAGTTATGTTCGTGCCTATATGAACTGGCTGCCTGGTAGACGTGGTATTGTCAATTTCAAAAGGGGTTAATTTGATTTGTTTGGGAGGTCAGAGCTTACAACCTAAATTCCTCTTTGAAGCTGGGACCCAAGCAGAGCTAGTCTGTAAGGTGTGAGAAGTCACACATAAGTGGCCTGGAAGTCTGGTTTCAGTATAAACTAACTCTCTCATTTGTCATATGGCTTGGTGTCTGTGACATAATGGGGTCAAGACATGATAACATAATTGTCTGCTGGACACCAAGACACATAGCACAATGGCTTTTACATAATACAATTAACACAATAGCTTTCATCCAGCTCAAAATTTTACATAATAACTCAATGTTAAGAACGCTGGTATGTCAGACACCCGTTCGCTTCCAGTTCCTCCCGAACTGCTAAAAGCTGAGTGATTATAGCTCGCAGTTCGGGTGTTGATTCAAACGTTCTCCAGAAGAAAATGCAGTGTCCAAGTAAATTCTCCCAGCAATCAGACGCATACCCAAACATCAGGCTTAACTAGATGAAGGGTATAAAAGGAATTCATTTATTCAGGCCAACTGGACGGTTTATATGCAAGTCCCCATGCAAGGGGTTTACTGTGACATATTCCAGGGGCATTCCCCACTGGACCTGAGAGGGGACTATGACAAAATACATACTGTAACTACATTGGCTCTCAGGTCCAGGATATTCCCACACAAAACAAGATAATCCCTCCCCTGTGCCTGTGAGATAATTGAGTCAGGAAGTGTACTAAACTGAATTATCTCCAGGCACTAAAAACATTGTAATAACACCCCAAAAATACCCCCAAAACAACAGCCACATCCCCTGATAGTCCTGATCTGGGGGACCAACATATCCAGAAATCACCCAGGTTGGTTCAGAGGTTCGGGATTTCCATGGAAGTCATATTTTGACCGACCACACACAAAGTCTTATGCCCAAAATAGTTCCACAGTTTCAGAGGTAGTGGTCGGTCTATTTCGGGGAGTTCTAAAACCGAAAAAATCCACAAACTGCTCCCCTGGCTCATGGGTAGCATTTGTTCCCCTTGTTCGTGGGAACAAACCTACCGAATAGCGCTCTCCTGGCTGGTCGGTGAAAAGAAGCAGGCGTTCGCAAAGTTGACCGGCGTTCGGGAATTCGAGTGTCCGATTTTAGTTCCAGACACTCAACGACCAAGTCCCGCTGTCTCTTTTTGTGCGACAAGATGGCCATACGAACAGCGTCCACACAGAGAGAGCACTTAATCTGCCATTACCTTTGTAGTTAATGAGCCGGGGGGGTGGTCGGTGTTCGGTAGTTTTATCTAGCGAACAAGAAAAATCCAAGTTAACGAACAAAACAGGGTCATTTCTTCACATTGATCCCTCTTGGTTCCATGGATCAGCATACCCGCCTAGACCCTGCCGAGTTCACTTGGGGATGTCTGGGTAAGTCAGTCAAGGTTCCCACTCTGTTTTCCGGGATAAACCATCTGCATTGCCGTCCTGTTTACCTGGCCTGTACTGCATGGTGAAATTGTAGGGTTGCAGGGCACGGCTCCAGCTTAACAAACGGGGATTGTCTCCAGCGACTCTGTTTAACCAGATGAGATGTTTATGATCTGTCATTAAAGTAAAGGGACGGCCGTAGAGGTAGGGTTATAATTTCTTTAGTGCCCGTACAAGAGCCAGGCATTCCTTTTCACGGTGGCATAGCTGACCTCTCTGGGTAATAGTTTCCGGCTGAGATATGCCACCGGGTGTTCCATCCAGTCATCCACCACTTGACTCAACACGGCTCCCAGTCCAAACATGGAGGCATCTGTGTGGACAAGAAACTTTTTAGTATGGTTTGGGGCAGCCAACACAGGTGCCTCGCTCAGCACCGCTTTGAGTTTCTGGAAAGCTGCCACACACTCCGGAGACCATGCTACCTGTCTGGGAAGGGACTCTTAGTCAGGTCTGTGAGGGGTTTGGCCAAGGCGCTGTATCCGTGGACAAAATTGCGGTAATAACACGCAGTCCCTAGAAATGCTAATACTTGCGTTCTGGTCCGGGGCTGGGGCCAATTCACAATCGCTTCCACTTCAACTGGTTCGGGCCGAACCCTACTTTATGGCCGAGGTACCATACCTCGGCCATGCTTACAAGGTCAGGGTGAGCCGGTCATGTCCAGCTAAGGGTATATCATGGCTGAGCTTAAGTAGCTCTGCCCTATGTTTACGAGGTACTACTAATTGCTTTTTAGGGATCTGCGCAGCCCCACTCCCAACTCCCCTGGTCACCCTGTATAGCAGACCCTTCTCCCACTTAAACCTCTCCTGGGAAATATCTCCATGGTGGGACGCTGCCTCCTTTCTGTACCCCTCTAGTGTGGGGTCTACCTTCTGCTCCTGCTCAAAACCCTGGGGAGTACCCCAGAATGGGGTAGGGGTGTTGGTTAAGGAAGGGATGGAGGGTCCTACCTGAGGTTCCTCTGAGTACGCTGGCTCCCCCTGGAGGCTTGAGACCGAGTCGTCACGGGACACGTCTCCTCTGGTTCAGGCTGGGCAAGCTGGGAGGTCAGGCAACCGAGGTCATTCCCCCAAAGCACTTTGGCCGGTAAGTCCTGCATGATGCCCACTTCCAAGTGTTTAGCTCCTGTACCCCAGTTAAGGTGTACCCGAGCAGTGGGTAATTTGTGAATGGCACCTCCAGCTATTCGGACCGCCACGGTCCTGTTGGTCCGGGCTTGGGCTTGAACTTTGTGGGGTTGTACCAGGGTGAGAGTGGCGCCGGTGTATCTTAAGACTCAGGCCTCCTGCCCGTCCATGGTGCCCCCGATTGTCACCTGCTGCTTGGACTGGGTTGGCTTCGTCTAGTACCATCCATTGTTCCTCGCTGTGCCCTTGTGCCTCGAGTGCCTCTTGGTGCTAGCAGTGTGCCGCGGCCCGGGCTGGTTGGGGTGCTGGTCTGTCCCAGCTCCCTCAGTTCCATTGAGGGCAGTGCATCTTATAGTTCCCTGGCTGTTGGCAGTGGTGACAGAGGGAAGGCGAGCGCCGAATGGGTGTTGGTGGTGGTACGGGGGATTAGGACATAGGTCTGGTGGCAGAGGTCCTAGCGCTGGGACAGGGGACTTAAAAGTGGTTCGCCCTCTGCGATTCTACCTTTTTCCCATCGTGGTATTCATCCGCTTACCGAGCTGCCTCTTCCACCGTACCTGGTTTCCTATCCCTCACCCAGTCCCGGGTTTCTGTTGGCGTGTGTTTAAAGAATTGCTCCAATAATATCAATTGCACCGCATCCTCCAAAGTCTTTGCCTGACAGCCCTGCATCCAATTTCGAGCCGCCCGGTGCATCCGAAAGGCCCTTTCGGCATACAATTCTCGATTACCCTTTCTCAAACCGCAAAACTTTCTCCTTTAGGCTACCAGGGTGACGGCAAACCGGGCAAGCAGGATGTAGCTTAACCGCTGATAATCGAGAATAGCATATTCGGGGACCGCCTGGTATTCCTCTTCCGCTCGGCCGGTGAGTTTACTGCTAAATATCGCAGCCCAGTGTTCTTGATCTAGCCCCTCTAAAGCGCACTGTCTCTCAAAGTCCTGCAAATAAGTGTCGATCTCCATTTCCCTGTCAACAAAAGTTTTCCAGGTATTGATGCCGTCTCTGCCTGGCATAGGTTCGCCTGCTGGGCCCTTTGTTCTGCACTTACCTGTGCCATGATATGCGCCACAATTTCCGGCAAAGGATTTGTCCCCAGCAGGCCAACTCTGCTTCCTCCTGGCTTACATTTGACGCACCCCTGGCTTGATTGCCCTCCATCAATTCGGCGATGAGGGTAGCTTTCTTTTTGTTGCTCGCCGACTGACCCCGAGCTTACAGCAAATCTTTCAGTGTAGTTCTCCTTAACTTCTCGTACTGCTGGACCATTCACCAGTTCTCCTTGATTGGGAATTCCATTCGATCCCGTCGCTTCCCACCAGTTGTTAAGAACACTGGTATGTCAGATACCCGTTCGCTACCGGTTCCTCCCAAACTGCTAAAAGCTGAGTGATTTTAGCTCGCAGTTCGGGTGTTGATTCAAACGTTCTTCAGAAGACAATGCAGTATCCAAGTAAGTTCTCCCAGCAATCAAACACATACCCAAACATCAGCCTAAACTAGTGTACAACAGGAAGTGTACAACAGGAATGAATTTATTCAGGCCAACTGGCAGGTTTATATGCAAGTCCCCATGCAAGGGTTTTATACCGGTGGTTGTGGTGTGCCAAAACCGACGTTCAGGTAGGCCTGTAAAAAGATGGCCCACCAAGTAAATGTTTTGATAGTATTATTAAATACGGACAAAGGGACTAGGAAATTAAATATAAAATGTAAGTTCAGGAGATAGAGATGTAAGGGAAAGTAAGTGTAATCTAATTAGAACCCATTCTTAGAGAAACAATATATTGAGCTAGCTCTCTAAACCCCAGGGGGAAAAAAAATCTGATAATTAAGTTAAAAATGTGAAAAATTATAAACATTGACATTATTCAAAATCCTGACTGAGACCTTTTTGGAATCAAAGTATCGATCTCATATATCCATCTCGTTTCTTCCTTATTCATTGTGTTAGTAAAGTCTTCACCTCTCCAGTTTTTATGAAGTTGTTTAATTGCTGTGAATGAACTTCCTACACTGGAACAATTAAGTATTTGTTTATAATGTGTGGAGACAGAATGGTTCTCAATATCTTTTTTGATATTGTGCAAGTGTTCTTGAATCGTTACATTGACCTTCCTAATTGTACATCCCATATTATTTTGTAATTATGTAGTCATACCCTTCATACCATCAGTCAGCTGACAATCACAGCCAATTACAGCTGCCCATTTCTGCTCAGTCAAATACTTCCTAGCCAAAGCAGCTTAGAGGTGATGGTGATCCTGAGATTCTCGTTCAGCATAAAAACATTAAAAATGGTTTAATGCTGAATGAAATTATGGCACCAGGGGACACCTGACACTATAACCAGTTTAATGAGATGAAGGACATACAGCACCCATTAAAATCGATTAAGTGAATAAGTTATGGCAAATAAATAATGGTTAATCCTTCTCATGTGAGGGACAAAACTGCTTACAGAGAAAAGTCCAATAATTTTATTATACAATCACAAAAACTAGAACAGCCATATGTCCATTACCTTGACTGCAATATCACCCTTGTCGCCAGTCCTGAATATTACATTTGAATACAGTAATCACTACAAGATTTCTGCCAAGATCTGATATAATTTCTAATCAGTTTTTATTTTATTTTTTTATGTAGATGAAGAGCTGAGTATTACCACCACACGCCCCCAGGTTCCTATTGGTCAGATTCCGTACACTCTGTCATTGAATGCTCACTTCCAATCGGCCTACGGCATCTCCAAAATCGAGTCTAACTGCAACATTACCCCTTTGGAGTACACGGATACTGACAAGACAGCAGCCAAAGTGAGCGAACCATACAATAACACTGACGTGTAAACCTTAGGCTTATTAACCAATTTTAAGATGTACAAAGAGAGTTAATATCCTTTTCTGTTTCTTTCTCTGAAATATCTCACCTTGCAATTGGTCATCTAAATAGCTTGCTTTGCCATTGTTCTGATGTTAAATACTTCAGATACAGTCATTCCTTGGCTCAGGCTGGCATGGATCTTGATAGAGTGCTTTCATGTTTTTTGTTTTTTTTAAGTACATGCTGTGTTTTTAAGGGTTTAACATGTTGGGCTGTGACAATAAACTCACAGTTAAAGCATTTTGACCAAAACGCAGGTCCTTCTTTTCACCTCCTCATGATCCCCTTTGTCACGTTGCTTTCTTCCCCATTTCTCCAGGTGTCTCTGGCTCAAGGGCATAAGTTTGAACGAGATGTTGAGCTTCTTGTTTATTATAATGAGGTGAGCAAGCCTAGTGCTACTGTGGAATCAGCGCTTCCAGATGCCAAAGCAGGTAAGCCAATCAGAAGCCAATCTATTTAGCATTCTATTTCTATGTAACATGGTTTCGGTCGGTCCTCTCCTTACCCAGTGTTAGAGTGCCTTCTCATGCATAATGACTTGAGGATGCTGGGATCTGTGCTGTAGCCAATATATAACTTGCAGATTAGGGGTTTGTCAATAAACTTAGCTGATAAATGAGGAGTGGATAACCAAAGGAGGTCATTATAATGCAGGTTTTATTCTACAAACATTTATATTTTACGTTGCCTTTTTGGAATTACCGGTGAGCTGCATTTAACAGATTTGCCAGTTTAACAACACTTGCCAGTCACAAAATCCCAAGCGCCGTACAGCACAACATATTGCTCATTGGCTACAGAGAACAGGAATGGGTCCTCTCCCAACATCTTCATTATTGTCACAGAGTGATTAGGGATGAAAAACAAAATCCCTTAAATTTAACAGTTTATCTAAGCTTCTCCTGCAGGGATATCTTTACTACAACAGCATCCGCTAGAGCAGGGATTGACAACCTTCAGCACACCAGATGTTGTGGACTACATCCCCCATAATGCTCTTACACCCATAATACTGGCAAAGCATCATGGGAGGTGTAGTCCAAAACATCTGGAGTGCCGAAGGTTGCCTATGCCTGCGCTAGAGTCTGGTACAAAACAGCTCAGTTCAAACAAGCTCCAGCTTTATCATATACATTTCCTTTATACATTACATTTTGTAGATAGCTTGCAGGAATATGTAATGCCTATATTTGTAACCTGCAAACTATGTTTCTTAAAGCAGAACTGTCATCCCCCCCCCTTCTTCTGAAAAATGAGTATTTGTTTTAGATTGAAACTTTATGAAATAGCCATGCAATGTAAACATTACTGTTCCTACTAAATGGCAATGCTTTATGTCACAGTTTTAGAACTAAAGGACCACTGCACCTAGATCACTTCATTGATATAAAGGGGTCTGAGTGCCTGTAGTGGGGCTTTATGAGATTACATTTTAGTTTATAGTTTTCACTTACTCTTTACCGTATTTATTTTTCTCTTTTTACATAGGGTCTGTGATGGCAGAGCAAGTGGTGATGTTGAATTTCTACCCTAGCTTCCCAGCAATGCAAGAGCAGTCTAATTGTGGGGAGTTCATCTTTCTCATGGATCGCTCTGGAAGCATGGAATGTGCAATGAATTCAAAACCAAATTCGCCTCAACGCATTCAGAGCGCAAAGGTTTGCAAATGGCATAGCGCACTATGTGAACTTTATTTCATACATGCATATTAAATGAACACTCCAAACGCCATAACCACTTAAGTTTGTTGTAGTGGTTATGGTGCTAGGAGTGCCTTGGCACCATCTCATGATAAGTCATCAAACCGTTTCAGTATGATAACACAACTTGCAAAGTGTCCACAGCCACAGCCCCTCCTTCTAGTCCTCTTCACCAGGAGAATCAAGTAAGTTCTCTAATTGAATATGCCGCTCACGTTGGGCACCTGTTTTAAATTAGGATATTGCAGAACTAAAAAGATGCAGAGGCAAGCTATAAAATTAATAAGGGGAATGGTAGACAGTTATGTAGAAAGGCTAGAAAAAAACTTTATTTGCTTCCTTAGAAAAAAACCTTGGGTGTTCAAGGATATAATTAATATGCAAGAGATCAGGTTGTTGGTCCAATGAAAAATCTGGTTGCCATTACATAGTCAAGATCAATGTTTTTTTTCCCATTTTTGTTGCACAATTGCCCATTGCTTCAAAAATGTTTTTCCTTTTTTTGGATAAAACGTTGTTTAAATGTTGAACTTGATGGGCTTTCTTTTTTTGACCTTATTACTATTACTTGCGTGCATAAGATTTCTCCTTGAATTAAGAAGTTGTCAATACAACATTCATCACTATACATTCTGCGTTTCTAAATAAAATTAGCAACTTATTTGTAAAGCTTTCAATTCCTATTTATATTTTTCTAATTGTAACTAATATTTTCCTGATATTAAATCTCATTGAAGTCTCAATTGCTGGTCTCTTGAGCTTTGTACAGTCCTGTTTATGACCTGGTCATCCGTATGCTGTGTGTACTCTCCCTGATATGTTTTTTAACTAACTGGATTTTCCTATTGAAGATGGCTAGAAGGAGGGATTATAGCTGTGGACACTTTGCAAGTTGTGTTATGATACTGAAACTGTTTGACTACTTATCATGAGAGGGGGGATATGATAGAAACATTTAAATATATAAAGGGAATCAACACAGTAAAGGAGGAAACTATATTTAAAAGAAGAAAAACTACCACAACAAGAGGACATAGTCTTAAATTAGAGGGACAAAGGTTTAAAAATAATATCGGGAAGTATTACTTTACTGAGAGGGTAGTGGATGCATGGAATAGCATTCCAGCTGAAGTGGTAGAGGTTAACACAGTAAAGGAGTTTAAGCATGCGTGGGATAGGCATAAGGCTATCCTAACTATAAGATAAGGCTAGGGACTAATGAAAGTATTTAGAAAACTGGGCAGACTAGATGGGCCAAATGGTTCTTATATGCCGTCACATTCTATGTTTCTATGTTCCTATGTGCCAGGGCATAAAATATTTATAATATACATGTTTTATACAGAAACTTTTGTTCATGAGGACACATGATACATATATTTAAAATGTTAAAGTTAAAAGTTTCTAACTCCTCATAAATACTCAACGAGATTTTGTCCGTTTATTTCTGACCTTCTAAGTAATGATTTTTATAAAATAGACGTCATCACACCCATCACCCGTAAACATTCGTCAGTTATTGCAGCTCTTCCAAGTTGACTAACTCTGTTCATTGTCATGTAAAAATTTGATCTGATATAGTTTCTATGAAAGTATTACACTCATGATGCCCTGGTAAATTTGAGCATAGTGTTTGAGTGCACATTCATTCTCTGTATTTCAAGATATAAGTTCATGCACTCATCATTTCCTGACTTGACTATTGCAACTCATTACCCATCGGCCATCCGGATATCCACATTGACTCACTGTAGTTTGTAATGAATGCTGCCGCCAGGCTCAATTTCCTGATAGACTACTACTCCCACACATCACCCCTTTGCCTATCTATACGTTGACATCCTGTACCCTTCAGGATCCAATTCGATCTGCTAGCACTAACCTACAAATCCCTCCATAACGCCACTCCTAATACATTTCCTTCTCGTTCCCTTTACTCTGCACCACATTCTCCTGACATCTGTCTGTTCCCGCACTCCTATCTCTTACATGCATGATTTTTCAAGAGTTGCTCTGTTGCTTTAACATTTCCTACCCTGTGCCATCAGACTGTCCCTTAACCTCCAGTCCTTTACGAAGTCACTGAAAACCCACCTCTTTAGGAAATCCTACCATATTCCTGGTGTGACACTTCTCTCATTACAGTTGCCTTGATCCGTTTCCAGTTTCCTTGCCTCCATATCCCAGCTCCTTCTGTTAGCTTGTTCCATAAACAACTTTTTGAAATTAATATTGTTTTGTTTTTTTAATCAAGGGTGAGGGATACAGAAAGAAGAGAGGAGGAAAGGGGTAGGAGGGGGAATTCGTAGCATATTTTATACATCATACAATGCAGGTTAACCTTGTTTATTGTACAGCAAGTCTTAATTTTTGGCATCAGTTGAGTGATACAGTATAACTACATAACATTTGTAACGCTGGTTCTGTCCACTTGAAACCTTTGCGGGCACAGAACCGAGTGATTTGACTAACCGCATAGTATTATTATCATTGGTTTTGCATGTCATATAGAAGAACACCTACTATTGACTCAGTACAAGAACCAGGTATAGTACTGGTGCTGTTGGTAGCAGATAGCATTGTCTTAATAAGCACCTCAGGTTTGTTATTTCTAGGTTGGTTCGTAGATTTACAGTCACACTCATTGCATCCTGGGTTGTGTCCATGCCCTATTGCGTGCTAAACCTGTGGATGCAGGTCTAGAAAGGAATATTTGCTTTGTAATTCTGGGAAGGG